TCGGAGATTAAGTTTCCAACACATAAACTTTGGGAGATATATACAAACCATAGACTGTGTTTTCCTTAACACAGCCAAAAGTAACTAAGGAGCCATTATATCTGCCTTCCAGTCAACAGAAGGGAGGAAGCTCTGCTACCCTGTCCCTTTAAGAATTCTCCTACTCTGGGTACCTCTGAAAACAGAGCCTGAGACAAGGACCAAGGGCAAGGTTCAGGTAGCTGCTTTGGAAGGTAATCTCAGAAAACTGAAGTGAGAGAGAAGGGAAAGGAAGAAGTGGAAGGAGAGAGGAAATAGCTAATAAAGTGTGTGTTATCAGGGCTGTGGGCACCACGTGAGGGGTGGCGTATAATGCATGTCACAGCTATCCCTCTAACTGACAGAAGGCTGGGGCAATCTACCAGTTCCTGTATCCATTGGTTGAGCATTGCCCCACAAGCGTTTCTTCCCTGACCAGGCCTATGAATAGGCTGGGAGGCCTTGTTACGGTTTAGAGTAGCAGAAATACAGCGCAGCAGAACTTAAGGACCCTGGCAGCATATGGCAGCATCTGCCACAGCTGCTGAATTAAGTGGGGCTAGGGGATGTGGCATGGTGCATTTGCTACAAGAACACACACAGAGGTTGCTCCTAAAGCTTCTTATTTCACCTATGCATTGGGAGTCCTCAAGATGACCCGTAGGGTCAATGATTCCCTAAAAGTCTCCCAGAACTTCAAAAAGTGATGGTCACAGTTTATTATAAAGAAAGAATACATACTGAAATCATCAAAGGAAAAGGTCACATAGTTAGGAATTCAGCAGAAATCAAGCACCAGCTTACTGTTGTCCTCTACCAGCAAAGTCATACAAATGCTTCTTAATTGCCCCCAACAACTATGTATGACATTTCGGAAGTATTGCCAACCTAAAGCTTACACGGACCTTGGTGTACATGATTTTTACTGGGAGTCAGTCACATAGACACGAAGGGCCTGCATGACTGACCTTAATTACCCATTCCCCAGGATCCCGGGAGGTGAAATTGATACAGCATGGCCCAGGGCTTCAGGTGAACAAAAACAGCATTCATCATAAATCACATTGTCAGTATAAACTGGTACAAACTCTCTGGCAAGGCCCAAAGTCTTATCAGGTGGGATATTTCAAGAGCTCAGAGTGTATCTCCCAGATCTGGGCAAAGGCCTTTTCTTTGGAATGTGCAGAATGTGCACACCCTGATTGATCCTTTACTGCACAACTTGTTTAGTGAGAACTTAGTCAAATGACCCACCTGCAACAAAAGTAGGAAATGCAGTCTTAGTTCCAAGCAGCTCTGTATGTACTTAATATTTAGAAATTCTGGTGGTGCCCGTAGCTCAGTGGGTAGGGTGCTAGCCACATACACCAAGGCTGGCAGGTTCGAACCCAGCCTGGGCCTGCTAAAACAATAATGACAACTGCTACAAAAAAATAGCTGGGCGTTGTGGCAGGCATTTGTAGTTCCAGCTACTTGGGAGGCTGAGACAAGAGAATCTCTTAAGCCCAAGACTTGGTTGCTGTGAGCTGTGATGCCATGGTACTCTACCCAAGGTGACAGCTTGAGACTCTGTCTCAAAAAACAAACAAACAAAAAATTCTATTATACTATGACAGGGATTCTCAAACTTCAGCATTAAACCAGACTTCAGGACTCCATTCTCAGAGTTTCTGATTCAGCAGGTCTAAATGAGGCCTGAGAATTTGCATGTCTCTAAGTTTCAAACTCAGGACTTAAAACAACACAAATTCATTATCTTACTATTCTGTAAGTCAGGAGATTAACATAGGTCTCACCAGGCTAAAATCAAAATGTAAGAAGGTTCTCTTCTGGAGGCTCAAGGGAAGAAGTTGTTTCTTAGCTCATTTGTGTTGCTGGCAGAATGCAGTTCTGAGCCCTGGTTCCTTACTATGTGTCAGCTGAAGGCAATTCTCAACTTCTAAAGGCCAGCCACATTTCCTGGTATGTTGACCTTTGCCTCCCTCCCTCATATATTCAGCTGCAAGGGGTTGGGTTCTCTTTATGCTTTGAATCTTGCCTGCCTATTCTTTTATCACCACATCACTTCTGATTGCAGTTTTCTTTTTTCTTTTGAGACAGAGTCTTAAGCTATTGCCCTGGGTAGAGTGCCGTGACATCATAGCTTACAGCAACCTCCAACTCTTAGGCTCAAGTGATCCTCTTGCCCCAGTTTTTCTATTTTTAGTGGAGATAGGTCTTGGTCTTGCTCAGGCTGGTCTCAAACCTATAAGCTCAAGCAATCCACCCACCTCAGTCTCCCAGAGTGCTTAGGACTACAGGCGTGAGCCACCATGCCCAACCTGGAAAGGTTTTCTAATTTAAAGAGCTCATGTGATAAGATTGGGCCCACCCAGATAACCAGGATAAATCCCCCCATCTCATGCTCCATAATCTTAATCACATATGCAAAATTCCTTTTGCTAGGTAAAGTAACATCACCCGTTCTGGTGATTAGGGTATAGACATCTTCAGGGAAGAGAGGATACTTCTGCCCACCACACCAGTTAGTTCATTCTGATACTGCTGATTCAGGGATCACACTTGGAGAGCCACTAATATAAAAAATGGAAAAACCTACAGAATCTTCCATAGAGCAGCCTTATTTCACGTGGTTTGAAAGCATCAACACAAGCTGATAACAAACAGATTGACTGTAGTTTTTCTTCTTCAGTGGGCCCCATGCCTACCTAAAAGTAATGAGGAAAAGGGGCAGGAAGGGAGAACCAAGAACAGAGAAACAGGAAATCAAAATCATTCCTCAGCTAGATAATCAGATCTTGCCTCATGCAGCCATTTCTTAGAATGTATTCAGTGAAATTCTTGAGAGAAATAGAGCAAGCAAACACATCAGAGAGAAAGTGTGCATGACAAGTCCCTCCTGATCCAAACTAATAGGTAATTACACTAAAATTCGACATGTTTTTCTTGTGGCAAGATTCCTCAGAGCCTTTAAAATACCAGTGTCTGGGATGTAAGGAGGGCAAAGTTCCCGAATACGATGCCGCCATGAGCTGTTTCCTTCAGGCCCACATCATGGCATCAGGCTGCCTGGAAAACGCACCCGTAAAAGTTGCTCCACGGGGTGGAAGGTGGTGACTCACTTCGCCTTCACTTTCCCAGCCGGTGCTTCTTAACTTTGGCTGTGTCCTAGAATCACCTCGGGGACTTGACATACCCTCATGGCTAGGACACAGGCCTGGAGACACTGAGGTAATGGCCTGGGTCATGTCATGGGCACTGTGCTTGGTCACCTGTGTTCCTCAGGTGATTCCACTGTGCAGCCACAATTAAGGACTATCACTATAGGTGATGACCCTGTTTTCCTGAGTCTTTTAAAGTGAGCATTTACTGACTAGAGTGAGAAAATCTGGTACTGTTCTCTATTTGAATCCCAGCCCAACCACATTAAGGGAGTGATTTTAGCTGAGGTAGTGATCAAACGAGAAGATGTGGCCTGGAGTAGCAGGGCTTACTAATGGCCTCCACACTCAAGAACATCATCCTTTCTTACCATCATTGCAGGACTTAAAGCTCTTTGTAACCTCGGAGCTTAGCACAGTGCTCCACAGAAGGCAGGTGTTCAGGAAGTGTTGTGGTAAATGATGAAGCAGCAGGAATAAAGTCCTCTTGGAAACACATATCCTGGGAGAATCAGCTTCGGTGAGACCTACGTGCACACTGCTCTAGTCAGAAACATGGACCGGATAAGCAGGGTGGGGCACCAGCACATTGATTGGAATGGTACCAGGTACACAGAACTCAGTAAATATGTGATGTGTGCATGAGTGAATGAATTTTGGCATAAAAAGACAGGCTGCATTATGTCAAAGTATGAGGTCATTGGGTGAGGTCCAGAGGAAGGAGCCCAGAGCAGGAAGGGAAGGGCAGGGAAGAGGTAAACAGTCAACATACTGTGTTCTCCCCCTGCAGTTTTGTGTAGGTCGCCGAAAACATTTGGCACACCAGTGCAAATCACTCAAAAGACCCCTACCGAAATGAACAGACTTGTTTGGAAATTTGCAAATCTCAGCTGCCTCAAATTCATCTCTGCTTGTCTAACCTATTATGACCCAATGCAATCTCCCCAACTCTATCCAGGACAGTGGGGAAAAGAACAGAGAAGGAAAACAGTGGGGGAAAAAAGCAGAGAACCGGGAGTTGAATCCAAGGGATTCCGCCTCTAAAGCAAATCTTGGTATAGATCAAACAAGGGGGAAATATCCAAAAACAGAGTGACTACATCATTGGTATACTCCAGGGAAAATGGTAATGGATATATTTCACCCACAAAAGAACAGAGAAGGAGGCTCTGTGGGCCTCCTTCCTTCTCCTGTTCTTTCTCTTTATAAACAAAACAATTGCCAATTGCTCCTTTTGAGAGCATCTCCTCTTGGACCACCTATGGTAACAGCACCAACTCTTTGTTATAACTTGTATGGCTGCGTGCATCCCTCACAAGTGCCCAGTCTTTAAATGATGCAGCCTGTTGGCCAATGTTTTTTCCTGTAATTCATGGTGCTGCTTATCTTGGCTGTGAGAGAATGAATTATAGGCATATTCAGAAAGTCTCATACCACCTTTTCTCTTCCACATTATCATAAAAGTTAAAATTATTGATTTATGAAACAAATAACTTATCTGAACATTTTAACAATGCATTGGCATTTATGGAGGTTTTTATTTCAATTTTGGTAGGACAGACCAGGTCAAATACCACTTCAGTACAAGCTGGTAGGGTTTTCCTCAATCACTTAGGTTCCATTTTTGCCTTGTACAATTAATACAAGAAGCATAATGAACTCTCAGCAATCCCCTGAGAAATGACAATTAGGCATCACTAAAAATCCATCTATGGAATGCAAAATCTTGATGTAGAACTTCCAAACCTACTCCAAAAGAAAAGAAAATTCCTAGCCAAGAACCACCGAGAAGGAGTAAAAACACTCTCACACATTCTCGTTGGGAAGGCAGACCATTCAGCATGTCTGGATTGCAACCTGCCAAATGCTTCGAATGTTCACAGCTTTCAAATGTTGCTTTCCTGACCCATTCTTTCAAAGACTGTGTCCTGCTGAAATAGGAAAACAAGTGTCACATATGGATGCTCGTAAAGAAACAAAAAAGGGCTTCTCTATACATTTCGTTATCTATCAAATGGATAGTCAGTCATTAAAAGTGGTGTTCCTGTAGAATAGTTTATAGGAAACTGCACAAAAGCATACGTGATATAAACTGGAACAGCAAGACAGCAACAGTCTCTGTAGCCCATTTTTAATATATTTGTAACATATAAATATATTTCAAAACACTGTATAAATATAATGTATATTTATATATTAGCATCTAATCTATATAGAAAATGATTAATAACCATTTTTAACGTATATGTAATGTGTTTGTTTGTAGAAAGACAAAGAAGAAACTCCCCAAGATGTTAATTGTGGTTATGGCTAGATAGTGGAATTATATATAATATTTATTTTCTTCCTTATATTCTACATTTTCTAAATTGCCTCAATGCACATATTATTTTTATATCCCCAAAATATTGCTGATTTGTGGGTGAAATATATCCATTACCATTTTCCTTGGAGTATACCAATGATGTAGTCACTCTGGTTTTGGATATTTCCCCCTTGTTTGATCTATACCAAGATTTGCTTTAGAGGCAGAATCCCTTGGATTCAACTCCTGGTTCTCTGCTTTCTAGTTCTATGACAATGAAAAAGATCATTCTCTCTGAGTATTCTGGACGTCTGGTATAGAGTTTGGGGGGGAATTAAATGAGATGTGTTGAGTTCCTATCCAGTGTTATTTCTCCCTCCCCTCCTTTCCAACAGCACCTGTCTCTGGGGTTTCATTCGGGCATTGACTGCCCATACCCCAGACCCAGGGACAAGAGGCTGACGTTGACTGGACTAAGAAAACCAAGGAAACTTTATTCCCCTTATAAGGAACTATTTCCAGGTTTGGTTGAAATGCTGGCTAAATAACTGGGAAGGAGAATTATTGGCAGAGGGTGGAGGATCAGGAGGAATGAGGGTAGAGGGGCCTTCTACGAAAGTTTTCTTCACTCTTAAGAAAACAAAGGACACCTGGAAGGATGAGTTTCACTCTCATTTCTGGCCTTGAAACACTGCATCTAAAGATGCCTAGAAGTGTCGTAGCCAACCTGGGACCATACAAGGACAAGACTGCAAAAAGAAACTAACACCAGAAAGATATTTATAAAAGATAGAAAGAACCCTGGTTCTTGATCATTTTGTTGCTGATTTCTGGCTTGGCCTTATTTTTTATTTACATTTAACATTGTTGTTAAGTCAGTTGAACTGGGATACTGTTACTTCCATCTGGAAGCAACCTGAATGATACAAAAAGCAAAAGTGCCCAACCCAGGACAGAAGCATATTTCAAAAAATAGACATCTTCCCTGTTCTTGCCCTTCAAATGTATATGTAATATGTACGACATACACTTATTTATGATTTGTATGTGTAGTTTACAGGGAACGTGACAAGAAATAACGAGGTAAATAGACCTTTTCTCTCTCCTAAAACATACACACAGGGCCGAATTTCTCTAATTTTAATGCACAAAAAGTCCCACCCCAAACAACAAAGTTTTCCAAGGAAAGACATGTGCTGCTGTAGATTATCTCTTGCTAAGAAGGAATTCTAGGTCTTCTTAAAAAATCTCAAATAACAAAAGTCTCCTCTAATCCCTGTCTCCCTGTAGGTCTTGAACAACTGGCCAGAGGCCATGCTTTTGTAAGAGGTTCCCTGGATAGATGAGGATGGATGGAGTGCGAGGCTAGATCAAAAGAAAGCACTTGCTACTTGAATATGCATGGGCTCCATTAACTGTGAGTCTTAATCAAGTAATGAAGACTGACAGGCTCCTTGGCCTATGGGAGCTCTGCAGTAATAAAATATGCACTTTTCTAAAAATGACATTGATAAATTGAGTCAAGTGACTGGACAATGACTCTATTTGATTCCATATCTCAGACTGAACAATCTTCTCTTCCTATATTACTTTTGCATCTGATCCTGATGCGGAAGAATAAACTCGCCTGAGCTATGCTTAGATATTTTTGATTTTAGTGAAAAAATAAAATATTAAACTTTTATAGCCTGGAATATTGTCTATGCTTTGAGTCTAATGTCCAAAAATACCTACATGTGGGAACTCAAAAATCACCCTACCAGCACTGCAAAGAATTCCTGAGCCTTCAAGCCTTAGGAAGGTGGTTCATGTGTTTCCTTTTCGTAACTATTGCTCCCACTCCAGAATGTGGCACTCAATAAGGAGGGCTGACAGTGTCCTGCTGGCCCTGTTCCGATGTGTCATCTCGCTGCATTTCCAGTTAACAGCATGACTGTAATGACTAGCAATTTAAATAATGGAGGCTGAAGCAGAGGCAGCCATAAGGACACAATGCAGAAATTGCCACAGTTTATCAACATCACTGGCACCCAGCTCTTCATTACCTCCTTGAATAGGGTCAAAGTAGTTAAAGTGATGCTGTAAATACTGACTAAAACAAAGCAGCTATTTATTCTTGATTTGGCATTGGGTATTTATAGCAAACAAGTCGCATTTCCCAGGCATGGGTTATTAGACATGGGGATGTAATTGATATTAACCAACTTTCAGGCTCCAGTAACTCTTTCTCACTACATGTCAGTTTAATTTTTTTTTTATGCATAAGTAGCACGTGCCAAATGGAAAACAAGAACACCCAAACCCCTTAAGTTTCAACACTGAGTGAACAGCAACTAACCCATTTAACATATAGAATCCTTCAGAGGCTTGCTATAGACTCAGAAGAGAGTGCTACAGCCTTTTCTTTCTTGAAAGAGTATTCAGGAGACTCTTAGAAATGAGACATCTCTAACAGTAATCTTGTTTTAGTTCAGAGCTGAAACAGTATGAAAGGACGTCTAGAAGCACCAATTGTGCATCTACTATACAACAGCAGGACACCCATAAGCCAAATCTGACTCGCTGGCCAGTTTCCTTTGCAACTCACAGTAATGGTTGACTTAGTGGTTTAACATTTTTAAATTCTTTTCAACATTTATAAATTGAGAAATTTCATGAAAAACACTAGATGCTCTGATCCTCAACGGTGCCACATTCCTGTTATCTAATAAACAGCCGGGGCTGAGCTGAGGTGGCTCCTGTTGGAGCAGAAAAAGCACCACGCAGTTGGTTTCAATCACACCACCCAGATCGTCTCCCTATCCCTGAGGCCAAAGGGCAATTACCTCTCTTCTTCTTAATAGTAGTGCTATTTTCCTTAAGTAAAGATTGAAGACAAATAATTTCAAGTTGGTGAGCCTCAAAAACAAGTGGGAAAACTAAAAATGAGTTAAAAGGACTGTTTCCAGAAAAAATAAAGAGGCTGTAACTCTTTATATACTTACCTATTGCCTTTTGTTCAATAACAGAATCCTACCAGCTCACCTCCAAGGGCATTTGACTATGTAACCCTTTGTGAAAAGCATCGAACTAGAAGTTCTGTGGAAAGGATACCAGACATATCAAAAAGCCAAGCTAGTTTCAATCTCAGACAAAAATAGTAGGCCAAGAAAGGGGAAAGCATGACTGGACTTGTAAGAAAAACTAAGCACATAGCAAGCATGGGCTCGAGGGCTAGGAAGACTAAAGCAGGTTCCAGTGTTCTAGCAAACTTATCCTAGCCCCTGGCTAGGCTCCTTTCAGGAGAGTAGGCATAGCAGGGAGCTGCCTTCACTCCTGGACACTGGGCCTTACCTGGTGGGAGCTGCTGCAGCAGCCTCCCCTCCCACCTGCAGCAGCCTACCCTCCCCTCCCACCTGCAGCAGCCTACCCTCCCCTCCCACCTGCAGCAGCCTACCCTACCCTCCC